ATCAATGTACCATTTTTGCCTTTCTTTGTAAATCTGGCACTTGGCACATCCTAAGCATTTAACAAATTCCTGTTGACTGCCTCACTTGGAACTCTATGGAGTCTTAAAGGCCTGGCTTTCTCAGGTGAAGAGGAACAAGAGGAGGAAAAAAGAAAAGAGCAAAAAGGAAGAAGGAAGAAGAAAAAAGGGAGTGAGAGAAGAGTAGAAAGGAAAAGGTGAGAAGGAAGAATAGAGTAGAAGGAATAAGAAGATGGGAGATGCAGAGAAAAAGGAAGGGAGAGGAAGAAAGGAGGAAGCAGGTGAAGAAATGGGAGAATGAAGAAGAAAGGAGAGTGAAAAGTTCAGAAGAGAGAGAAGGAAGGAGGAGCTATGAAGTGAAGAAGAAGAAGAAAGTGTGCAAACAGAGGTGAAACAGCCTCTCACTTGATGCCATGGCTGGATCTCCACCTAGACAGCCTTTACAGCCAGTACACCTGTGCAGAATACCTAGACTTACCCAACCTTTTCCCATCCCCCTTTTCTGAGCCTCTTCACTTTATCTCCACTTCTCCTCCAGTTCCATTTCCTCCCCTTCTTCTCCTCACCCCACAGCCTCTCTTCTCTTCCACTTTTCTTTTTGGATGAGATACCTTATTCAATCTGTGCCTCAGCTTCTCCATCCATAAAATGGGGACACATTCCTATCAAAAGCTTTCCCTCACTCAGGGATGTCAGGAATATAGATAAAAGCATAAGAGGATAGAAGGTAGCATATTCCTGAAATAGACTGGGAAATGGTAGCCTTCCAAAGCACTTTCTTCCCAAGAATTTTTTGTGTGATAAGGAGTGGGAGTATCCCCATTGCACAGATAGGAAGCCTGAGGGTCAGCAAAGGTCCTCTGACTCCAAATCCCAAGCCAGAGTTCTCAGGTCCCTTCCTCTCATTAAGACACTGGTTTTCCCTTAACAATGTCAAATCCATCCTCTCACTACTCTTGAATGACCCAGAGGGGAGTAAATGAAGGGAGGAAACAGGCTAAAGACATCAGCATTTCCCCAGCCTTGGCAGTAGCTGTGAGCCACACTGTAGATGGATACAGGGGGGAAAGAAGGAAGGTAAAGTTTGTGGCTTCCTAGGGCTGGATCTCAGTGATGGCTTTGGTGCCACATAACCCCAATGCACCAGACTCCCTCTTCCAGGGAACCCTGGGGAGCCAAATGGCCAGGATGCCAGGGATTCTCACTGTTCTAGTAAGTGAGGGAGTTGAAATAGGGACCTCCCCTTCCCAGCTCAAGCATCTTTCCTTTCTATGAACCAAGCCTTCAGCTGGCTGTCATGGGTAGTCTGAAGCCAGCATCTCTCCACCTCCATGGAGTGTCTGTTAGTGATAAATCAAAGCAACTCAGTTAGTTTCTGCTGCAAAGGAGAAAGGAATAACCATCTACAATCAGAACAGGGAGCAGGGCCCTAATAATCCTGGGAGATGGGAAAGACTCAGGCCTAGAGAAAGGGGGAAGAGGGGGATGGCAAAGCATCTGCTTTCCTGAGGCCTGAGAGCATCCATCAGCATGAAAGGAGAGCTTTGCCTTCCTTCCCCACCCCTTCCAAGCCAATTAATTGGGGCAGCTCTCAATTTAGTGGGTACTTCCAACCAGGGCTCAGTGTTCCAATCTCATGCCACTCTGGGCAGGAAAACCCTCCCACAGACACACTCATTGTGTGAAAATCTCCCCATAATGCATCAGAAAGCCCACTCTCCCTCTCCATCTCCACAGAGAGCTCCCCAACATGAAATCTTCAACCCAATTCTGATAGTAATCAGGCTGCCCTCTCGAGCCAAGATCTACAAAACCCATGACCATTGTGACTAGGATCACAGAATCAAATGTCTCAGAGCCAGAAGGGACCCACCTAAGCTAGCATCCTCGTCTTATAAAAGAAGAAATGGAGACTCAGGACTCACCAAATTTCAAAGCTGGAAAGGACCTTACAGACAATTTAGTCTAACTTTCTCATTTTACAGAGAGAGACATGGAAGCCCAGAAGAGGAAATTGACTTGCCCAAGAGAGAAGACCCTGTACCAATCAGCATGACCAACTCTTCCCCTCCTCCAGACTACTCAGGTAAAGCCTTCTGGGAAAACCATAGCAACGGTGTACTGTTGAACACCCTAACCATCTAAGGAGGGTTCCCATTCCAAAATGGCTGACTCTGGGCTGTCTCAACAGGGGATGAATTAAAAAACCAACAAGGATTTTCCAAATTCTTTCTATGTGCCAGACACTGTGATGGATCTCGGACTTGGTGTCAGAATGACCTGGGTTCAAATCCCACCTTTGCCATTTTACTAGCTATGGGACTCCGGGAAAGTTACTTAAACTCTCTCAGGCTCCATTTCCTCATCTGTAAAATGGGATGATTTTAGTACCTACCTCCCAGGATTGTTGTGAGAACCAAACGAGATATTTGTAAAATGCTTTGCAAACCTTGAAGTGCTACATAAATGCTATTACTAATCATTGTGAAGCACCATATAAATATTTGTTAGTAGTAGTGGTGGTAGTAGCAATAGTAGTAGTAGTAGTAGTAGTAGTAGTAGTATAGTAGTAGTAGTAGTGGTAGTGGTAGTGGTAGTGGTAGTATAAATGCAGAAGCAATTACTGGAAAGCCTAGACTTCAGGGTTGGAAGACCCCTAGGCATCTGCTCTCCATGACGAGGGTGGCTAGCAGGCGCATTAGGACTGGTGTTAGTAAGACAGAAACAAAGACTCCAAGATCAGAGCATGGGTTAGTAAGGAACAGCATATCACCACCAGCTGGGGCATCTCTGCAAAGAAACAGGTATGAGCCACTAGGAGAGAAATGGAGATAAGCAGGGAACGTTAGTTGGTTAGGAGCAATGCAGTTGAGGTATTTGCTCGGGTTAGAAATGGGTTAGTAACAGGAAGAAAAAAAAAGTAACCACTGACTGAAAAGGAGACAGGTAGGAATGGCCTCCATAGGGAGCCAGAGTGGGATTACCACCCCCTGGTAATCCCCATCCAGGACTCAGGGTCTATGAGCAGAACGCACACCTTGGGGGTGAATGTGATGGGGCCCTGGGCACTGCCTACTGCAGGAGTTTCAGGTGGCTGGCAGGGGCAACTCTCACGCCTGATGCTGAGCTAAGAGAGCCTGCCGGACAAGAGGCTGTGGTGGTCCTGTTGCTGGTGGGATCCCCAGCCCTGACCTGATCTGCAGGGAGGGAGTGGCAGGTTCGCTCTGGCAACTGGACTGGCGGTCTGCCCAGAGATGCTGGGACTACAGCCCAAACTGACCCAAGTTTCCCATTTCCCCTCGAGGCCATCTTTGCTCTGTGAAGTTAGGATAGGGTGGGGGTGGGGGCCAAACAGAGAAACAGTAGTTAGTACAAAGCATGCTTCAGGTCCGGTTAGTTGGTTAGTCTGCCAGCAAAAAGGCACACTGAGCAGCCCGTCATCAGACACATCTCCTCGGTAGCAGAGGGGCCTCAAGACTCCCTGGGGTTAGTATGTTAATGGTAAACATGCAGCATTAGTCCAAGGTTACTCCCTGGTCATCTCAAGAGCCCCAGGCCCCATCCTCGTACCATTCACTGAACAAACCCCAAAGCTTCCCTCCTAGAGTGCCCCCCCCTCCAACCTTCTGGCCCCATCTCCACCTTCATGCAGAGCCAGAACTAGGGTCGGGAGCCTGAAGTTTTTGCCCCTGGGCAGGTCACTGAGAGGGTACTAAGGCCACTATCCCAAGGATGTTCCACCTGCAGTCCCATTGGAGGGGGGAGTGATAGAAGTCTTTTCCAAGTGGGAGAGCTTGGAAGCCTCCTAGTATCTCAAGGCCTCCTGCTCCAAGCAGAGCACAGCCCAAGCAAGCCTCTCCTTGCTTCCCCAAACTATTGCTGCTGATGCCACCTGGCCCAGGTAGAGAAAGTCTAGTTATGGCTCTGCCTCCATGGGACCTGCCCTGCCTCCCCCAAGCCCATGCTTTCTCCCTTCTCCTTACTATCTGTCTTGGCTTTTCATCACAGGGTCACAGACCTAGAGCAGGAAGAGACCTCAGAGGCCATCTAACCAACCCCCCAGTTTGCGGAGAAGAAAATGAAGGCCCAGGAAGTTGAAGTAATTTGCCCAAGGTCACACAGGTACTAAATGGTGGAGGCATGATTTGAACACAGGTCCTCTGACTCTAGATCCAGGGTTCTTGTCTCTGAACTATGCTGCCATTCCCAGAGTCTTATATCAACTTCTGTTGTTCTCTGATTTACATGCAGAAGTCTGACTTCTCCTGCTAGACTATAAGCTTCCTGAGGGCAGGACTAGGCTCTCCTCGATGTCCAAGCGTCTAGCACTATACTGTTTTTCATGCAGTATGAGAGTCAATAAACCCCTGGTGGGTTGAATTGGACTGAAATGAGGCTAAACGCTGAGAAAACATCCAGACTAATATGAGAAATGTGGCTGGGTTCTTGGGGTTTTTTTGGGGGGGGTTGTTTGTTTCTTGTTTTTTTTGACACATCCTCTCCAAGCCTGAGTATCTAACTCCTGATAATCAAAAATATTGGTCAATGGGGATGTCTGGGGATGGAGGGGGGCGGTGTTAATCTTGCTCAGGCTTCACATTCCACTCACTTTCCCCATCTGACTATTAGACATCATCCCCTAACTGAGCAAGGCAGAACCTTGGTCTAAGAACTCGACTGGAAAACCTGGGGGGCTCCCAAGCCATGCTGTTCTGAAATACTGCTCCATCCACTCACATAGAGGAAAAAATCGATGTGCATTCATTTCACCTGCAAAACATGCTTCCTCCCCTCCACCAGTCTGCACTGAGGCTCTTCTGTAGGGACCATGTCTAAGGTTCAGGCAGCATAGAAATTGCCAGAGAATTCATCAGAAAGTATTCTTCCATGTCCCAAGCCACCAGGCGGGAAGTAAAGTATGAGGGGTATGCTGGGATACTAAATACTGAGATGGAGGAGTTAAGAACTCGACCACCAATACCTTTTCAAGTCTCCAAAAGAGTAGTTTTAGGAACATTGTAGCTTACAGGTCATCTTGCCCATTGCCCTAACTGTGCAGAAAAGGAAACTGAGGCTCAGAGAGGTGCCATGACTTGCTCAAGTTCACACAGACAATTTGCAGCCAAGCTGGAGCTAGAATCCAGATCTTCCACACAAGGGCTTTTCACAGTCTAGACCATGGTTCTTACCGACTCATGAACTCTAAGAGGTGGAATATGCTAAGCAGATAGTTTTCAAAAGAAGTCATTTGAACTCACAGAAGAGAGACATTCTTAATGACTTATTACATGATCATAGATTTAGGGTTGGAAGTGTTTCAGAGGTCATTGGGTCCAACTTCATCATTTTATAGATGAAAAAGCTAAGGCTCAAGTTAAGTGACTTGCCCAAGGTCACACAGAGAACAAGCAATGAAGGTGGGAAATGAACTCAGCTCTTTGAACTCCATATCCACTACACTACAGGAGTGGGGACCCTCTGGGTCATGTCCCAACCCCTTCTAGGAGATCATAGAACATAACCAAACCCTCTCCAAAACTACTCCCTCCACAGTCCTGTCATAGTTAAGGGCTGAAAGGTCAATGGCATCTACCCCAATGAGGTCATTGCTAATGGCCTTAAGCACCTGCAGCCCCATCTCCTACCTAGTGACAAGGGTATATAGACCTAGAAGGTAGCAATACAGCCTGTACTTGACCTGCAGTGACAGGGCATGATTCTTAAAGCAGCTGCTGTTTCCAAGTTTGCACCAGACCATCTCCCACCACCAGAGGTCTTGAAGCCACAGAGACTGTAGGAGGAAGGAATCTCATTAGGTCATCTAATCCAATCCCCTGCCTTCCAGAAGGTGAGACCTCACTACCCTTATTTTGCAGATAAATCAATGGACCCTACAGGTCAAGTACTTGGTCCAAGGACCCCCAGCTGTGCACCCAGTTCAGGGTCTCTCTCCTGCTTGCCTTCCTCCCACCAATAGGAAGAACTTTGCAATGACAGGACGACAGCTGTCAGAAAGGAAAATCAGGAGGCAGAGGGGTCAAGGTGAGATCTGTCATCATCTCAGCTATGATTTGATGGATGACCGAATTGGACCCTAGCCACCTCTTCCCAATACTTATCCTATTGGGCATGACCCTTGGTCAATGGGCGCATCCAGGGAATTGGGGGAGGGCAATCTTACTCAGGTACCACATTTCACTCACTTTCCCTTCTGACTGCTGGGCACCTGTCCCCTGGCCGAGCAAAGCAGGGCCTTGGCCCAAGATCTGGACTAGAAAACCTGGAGGTCTCCAAAGTCACGCTGTTCTGGAATATTGTTCTACCCACTCACAGGGGGAAAAAAATTGGTCTGCATTCATTTCACCTGCAAAACATTCCTTCCTCCCCTCCACCAGCCCTCCTCCAATGAAGGGGGGCAGATTCTTCCCCAGTGATTCTGGGGGATCCCACCAACCCTCCAAAAAAGTGATGCCTCTGAGGAATGATTGAACAGTGAAGGATGGGAAACAGAAAGGTCTCTATCTAGGAATCCAAGCTCCCCGCACTTCTCCCACCACTCCCCCTTGAGACTTCCCTCTTCCAATTTTGCATTCCTATTCCCTCCTGAAGGGGCCTTTCGAAGTGGAGTTAGGGAAGGCATTATTGAGAGAATGGTTTTGGCCACAGGCTGGGTGCCCTAGTAGGAGGGGAAGGGGGAAGCACTACTTGGTAGGGATTGGCAAAGAAGCATCAGGCTTAGAGTTAAAAACACCTGTAAAGACCATCTAGTCCAACCCCCTCCTTTTACAGGTGAGGAAACCAAGGCCAGAGAGTTGAAGGCACTTCCCAAGGCTGCATAGCTCCTAACACAACCTGAGTTCTAACCCAGGTCTTCTGATGCCAAATCCAGTGGTCTTTGCTATATATCATGCCCTTCCCTAGGCTGGAGAATCCTTAAGCTTGACCCTGAGTTAGTCAGAGTTCACCCCACTGCACCTCATGTAGAAGAGGCCAGGATTGATGAGAAGGAAAGTCTCCCTGCAGGCTCTAAACATCCCCCGGGTAGGTAGCCAAGCCATGCTGGATGTCTTCCCCAGAGCCCCATACATGTGCCTTTACCTGGGGCTCTGTCTCTGTAGGCAGCATTGTTCTGGATCACAGAGACCATCATTCTCTGTGGGATGGCAGCCAAGGCAGGAACTCATTAATAGACCCTTGGGTCATAAATCTAGTATGGAAAGGGTCTTCTGAGGTCCAACCCTTCCCATTTTACACAGGGGGAAACTGAGGCCCAGAGAGGTGAAGTGGCTTGTCAGAATTCACGTAAGTAGAAGTAGCAGGGCCAGGATTGAAACCCATGTCATCCAACTCTAAACGCAGAGCTCTTTCAGCATTCTCTGAGCTCTGGCACTCACTCTGCTGGGTGGGAAAAGGACAGGGTGGTGGGGAGGTCCTGAGAAGAAGAGTCCGTCGGGCCAGGCTCAGTATCTTCCATCTGGGACTTGGAGATGGAACTCTGGACAAGGCCGGTCACTTCTCGGGGGGGAAGAGTCAGGATGTAGCAGCCACTGGAGTCCGGAACAGGTAGACATTTGTGTGCACAGCTGCTCTGTAAAGGATGAGCATATGTGAGATGAAGTCTAGGAGATTCTTCTGAACCCCCTACTCTCTACTCCTTACTGCTACCCCTCCCTCACTTCCAACCCTACAATACTGTCCTTTTCTGCTTAGATAAACTGTACATATGGTTAATCTCCCCTGTCTAAGCAGAGCTAGGGCCAGGGCTTATCTAAATTTTTTATCCCTCTGGGCCTCACCCACCCATACCCACACCCAGAACTGTGTTCTATACATAGTAGGTACTTAATATATGGGGTGAGGGTTGTTTGTTTGTTTGGTTGGTTGGTTTTTTTGGCTAGGCAATGGGGTTAAGTGACTTGCCCAGGGTCACACAGCTAGTAAGTGTTATGTGTCTGAGGCTGCATTTGAACTCAGGTCCTCCTGCATCTAGGGCTGGTGCTCTATCTACTGCGCCACCTAGCTGCCCCACTTAATATATGTTTTGATATTGTTACTGGGGCCTGGACAGAAAGGAATGATTACCATTTTTATACTTAGAGAGGGATAGAAGGAAAGGAAGGAAGGAAATAGGTATTTATTAAGCACCTACTATGTGCCAGGCTCTGTACTAAGCACTTTACAAATATTATCTCATTTCATCCTGTCAACAACTCTGTAAGACAGATGCTATTATCATTCTAATTTTACAGCTGAGGAAACTGAGGTAAACAGAGGTTAAATGATTTGCCCAGGGTCACACAGCTAGTGGGTGTGTGAGATCACATCTGACCTCAGGTCTTCCTGACTCTAGGTTTGGTGCCCTACGCCCTAGCTGGTGATAAAGAGAGGCTATGTAGTCTATTGCACCTAAAATCAGGAAGATGTGTTTATATCCCACCTTAGACATGTATGGCTGTGAGACCCTAAGCAAATCTCTCAACCTCTCTTAGCCTCCATTTCCCCATCTGCAAAATGGGGAAAATAATAGCACTTACCTCCTGGGGTTGTTGTTAAGATTAAATAAGATGAAAATTATAAAGCACTTTGCAAACCTTAAAGTGGTACAGAAATGTTGTTCTTACTGTTATTATTATTATTATTATTATTATTATTATTATAGCTATTATTTATATAGTGCCTTGAGAACTATAAAAACATCTTTAAAGAACCTTATAGTGATATCCCTACAAACTGTTCAGTTTTTCATACTCTCTTTTCCTTGTCTAAGGAAATGCTTGTGTCTGTTGATGCTTGCTAATCTCACAATAAAAAGGAAATTTTAATTTAAAAAATTAAATAAATAAAATCAGTAGGAAAAAAAGATAAGGAAGAGAGGTGGTGTGTCATGGTGGCTACAGAATCAGCCTTAGAGACAGGAAGATATGGGTTCAAATCCCAACCCTGACATATAATGGTTGTGTGTACCTGGGGAACCCACAAGCCATGGACAACTCCCTAAGAGCAAAAGTTGAAGAGAAGCTATTGATCTGCATTGACAGAAGGAACTTCCTCATCTGGAGTTCTACAAAATAATGAAATCACAAGTCTAGTCCAGTAAAGACCCAAGGTTTCACACAGTAAGTGACTGTCAGAAGTAGGACTTGGACCCAGGTGTTTCTGATTCTGAGCACCTAACTCCAGGTACAGAACTCATTTCACTGCTCATTTCTATTTCTTTCAACACACATTTCTTGAGCACCTTAAGTTCCTTCTTCAAAATAACCCTCTAGGACTGGTAGTACAAAGATCATTGCCCCCAAGTGACAGATGAGGAAACAGGATCTTAGAGGCTAAGTGATTTGCCCAAAGACAGAGAGACTGTAAATAGGAGAGTAAGAGTAAAGGAGAAGAATCTAATTCCCAACTGTAGAATGAGAGAAATTATTTTACCACTATATTAATAACCAATTATTAATTTGAGATCCAGACTTTTCTCCTTTATTTCCTCAGTTAAGGTCCAGCCCCTATAAAAAGTCAGTCTCTGAAGGACATGATTGGTTGATGAGATTGTCAATCTTGGGACTTCACCCTATTGGGTTTATAGTATAAACAGAATCCAATCTAGATGAGTTCTTATATTAAGGAAATGAACTCCTATTCTTGTATCTCTCCATTAGAGTTTAGAGTGATCCAGCTCATGGAGGAGAAAACCAGCCAGAGTAATCTAGGGGGAGATGGATTCCTCTGTCCAGATTTCTGGAGGTACCTGAGTCTCATAATCAAGTCATGTTCTCAGCAGGAGGAGCTGAAAACTTCTGGCCCATTCCTTATTAAATGTCCACCAATCAAGGTTGATTTTCATTCATCAGGGGCATTCCCTTTCCAAAAACATTTAAGGCTATCAAGCTCTCCCTGTTTTTATCTTTGGTTACCAAGAGAAACCACTGACCATCAATTTATTGATTGAGGGTTAGCTTAATTAATAAATTGATTATTAATTATCCAGAAACTGTCTCTCAGGGGTTTTCATTCATCACATAGAATCAATGGATATTGAGAGACATGACTTCTCTGTTCCTACAGATTCTCTGTTTTGTGGAAGGTATGGGGCAGGGACCTAAGCAAGCTCTCCAAGAATCACAGAATTTCAGAACTGGAAGGGACCAGAGAGAACAACTCGTCCAATTTATGTCTGAACAAGAATCCTTTCTACAAGGACCCTAACAAGTAGTTTGCTCTACCTTCCTCTCTAACCTATGGGCTACTCTTCAGATTGATTCCTCTTGGTTCCTACCTGGAGGTGTCCAATCAACTGGCTGACAGCAAGAAAGAATCAAGACAGGCATTTCTGAGGCTCCAGACCCTGGATGGGCTTGTGAACTGTCCAGGTTGGGTCCTTAGTGGCTGGAAGAGAAGACAACCGAGCAAAGCAGCAGAAGAAAACAAGATCCCTCCCCAATCCCAGGGTCTTTTAGCTAGTGAGAAATCCCAGGAACCCTAAGGATTCTAGAGTCTAATCAAGTGCCATCTCACATCCATCCCCCACACCACCACACAGACACCAAGGGCCAGAGCTTCTATGAAGAGATAGAAGTTGATATTACTGTCAGCACCATGGCCAGGGAAAGCCAAGGAGCAGGGAACTACTTCAGCACTATGGTCGGGGACAGCGAAAAGCAGCAGCGGTCACTATGGACAAGGGAAGGCTTTATAAGCGAGCTTAATAACCAAAACAACAACAACAATAATAAAAGCAATACCAATATCAGCAACAGAAACAACCAACATACCGCCATGTAAAGATTAAAATACACTACCAGGCATTCTCTTTTGGAGCTTTGGGAAGATTTGGTTCCTTGCAGAGAGCATCTCAGACTCAACTGAGCCCCTAGATTTGGTAAAGGTGCATTGATGAAATGAACAGAAACTTTCCTGGTAAGAATCTCTCTAGGTATGTCCCTCCCAGTACCTTTGCTCTTGGGATACATAACTTGGTGTGGTGGCTTGAGTATTGGACTTGGGGTCAGGTAGACTTTGGTTCAAATCCTACCTCCAATACTTCCTAACTATATGGCCAGCCTCAGTTTCCTAATCTCTAAGATGGAGATAGGAATTCTTGTAGTGTATGAGCTTCCTAGGGTTGTTGTCATACTCCAATGAGATAAAGTGTAAGAAACACTTAGAAAAATCTCAAAGAGCCACACAAATGTCAGTTACCTTTACCATTCACATGGTTTTGCAGGTGTCTGTGGGTTTTTTTTTCCTTTAGGGAATAAATCTGACTTTGCTTGATACCTCCATAATAGCTAAAGACAAGCCTCCTCACAGTGAGTCCACAAAGATAAGACCTTCCTGAGACCACATCACTGTTGCATTTACAACCTGAGACTCTAAACCATTAGAGATGATTTGAAAGGTATGAAACTGCCCAGCCTTGGGTCATCCAAAGATAATCACAAAGTCATGAAGATAATAATTCTCTGAAAGTGGAAGGAGAACCCACTAAGGCCATCCTTAAAGGGTATGGAGTGTGATCAGGTGCCAAGATTGAGAATGTTCCTTGGCCGTATAGGACTCCAGAGGTACATAGTGAGCAGTTGGGGGTCCTGGTCTTTTAAAACCCAGCCAAAGCTGCTAATCTTATCACCCAACATATTTATCCAGGTAAAATCAGATAACAATGAACACTGAGGTCAGCTCTGCAGGGATTAAAAAAAAAAGGTCCCCAAATGGAAGCTGGAGGTAGAATGATGGATAGTGACTCCTCTTTTTGCCTTAGTGGCTTGGAAGTAACTGGCATGCTGACAGAGGCAACTCCTACATGATCCTTCATGAATCCCCTACAGAACTGGCTGGTCTGCTCTGGAGGGGACCAATATTTCCCTCACTCCTTTCCCCACAAAAATGCTCAGGCTAAGTGGGTCGGAGGGGTGACTCCTGGAGACGTCTCCTTTTTTTCAGCATCCTGTGAGCTATGTAGTTGGTCAGTAAGATTTTACTAATTGACTCATATGCCAAGCAGTGGAGTTACCCTCAATCTCTACTGTAGACCTGTGGGAAAAGGAGATATCCTCAGAGGACAATGGCACTGGGCCTGGAAGGGGAAGGCTAAACCCACTCTTTGGGTGCTTTTTCAAAATGTGGAGGGAGCAATAATGATCTGAGCCCCTGGACACTGAACTGAGTGGCTCTTCCTCTTCCTGCTCCGAATCACTAGAAACAAACCCTCCAGCCTGTAAAGTCTAGGGGCCAGTCAGGCAGTGAGAATGGAAGAGAGGATTGCTACCCAGGGAATACAAAGTCAAAGAAATGGGACTTATCTGTGGAATTGGGAATGAAAAATTCAGAAGGACTGGGCTCTGGTTCCAGTCCTGTCAATAATTTACTATGCAATCTGTAGCAAGTCATTTTGCATGCCTGGGGCTATTTTCCGAAACTGTAAAACTACAGGATTGGCCTGGTTAAGAAAAAAAAAGGCAGTGACCAACAGATTCTGTTCACGGACAGGTGTCTTTTACATTCATCTTATGTTGTTTTCATTTCACTGAATAATGGCTGGTATTAAGTATTTCTTGTAGTCACAAGGAACGTGCTGGTAAGCATACTATCCTGTCAGCCTCACTGTGCTTTGGAGAGTATTTACCCCTATGGTTCACGTGAACCTCACTGTGAGCCAGTTTTAAATAAAGCAATTCCTGTTAAGGACCATAAAGAACTAGGTTTAAAAGCTGTCTCTATGAAATCAGCCATTTCTTTGGAAATTCATACATATTTTCAATTTATTTATAAGGAATTATTGTAATTTACATGGACCTGTAGGTTAACCTGATTCTGTTTCTAACTGTTTCCAATCCATAGGGCAAAAATAACATTTTCGTTGTTTAAAAAAAATGAGGTCGAACTGGATGCCCAGAGAGGTCCCTCCCAGCTCCAATGTTATATGGCCTATGCTCTAGCATTCTACATTTTAGGGCTCTTTCTGGCTCTGGCCTACATTCTTTGTTTTACATGCCTTCCTAACTCTGACATTCTTTGTTCTAAGGGTCCTCCCTGCCCTGACATCCCAGATCTCACATTCTGTAATCTAAGATGACTCCCAGCTCTGACAGCCTATAATTCTATGCATCCTTCTCACATTGCAACAGAATCTAAGAAAGCTCTAAGTCTGTGTGAAAAGCAGATCAGAGGGGCCAGGCTATATACAAGCTTCTATTCCCCCAAGATGCCCCATGGTTCCTGGTTACACAGCTGAGAAGGAGAGTGGGGATTCTGTCCTGAATCTAGTCTCAGGAACAAGTATATTTGGTTATGATCATCAGAGTTCTAGAACTGGAAAGGATTTTAAAGGTCATCTAGTCCAACTGCCTCATGTTACAGATAAGGAAACTGAGGTCCAGATATAGCCTGTATTGTTATTTGCCACAGACATTGTGCTACATTGTATGCAAAGCCAAAATAAGAAGACTTTTACCTAAAGGTTTACATAAAGTGTATGTTGGGTAGCAGTATTTGGTGCATATAAGGAAAGTGATATCAAATCCTCAGGGTTTGACCAAAGTCACAGAGGAAGTAAGAGTATAAGAACCCCAGTCAGCAGGGTTACTCGGCTTCCACGCCCCAAGACCAAAAGGGATCTCAATACTTTTGACCCAGCATGAGAAACTGAGCTTGGAGCTAAAGAGAGCCCAGAAGGAGAGTTGGACCAGGTCCTCTGGGACCCTGAAAAACAACGGAAATGGTCTCTCATCTCTCAGAAGTGCCACCTAGAGGCAGAGCAATGGAGATGACCTCTCAAGTTTCCTTCCTGACCCAAAAGCCTATGATTCTGCCTTCTCTATGTTCTATTCAATTCCACTCAACATGAACATTTATTAAGCACCTATCCCACGCTAGCCTTTCTCAGAGCCAAAAAGACTAGAGAGAGGAGGCTGGTAAGTTTGTCATACTTATCTGCAAGGTTCCTGCCTGACATGTTAGGGGATGTCCAGCTGCTTGAGTCTTGGAAACACCCTTCTTTTATCACAGGAAACGGAAACACTCTGGAAACCGATTCCACAATACTGGAAAATGTGAAGGCTCTTCTGGTGTCCAAACAGCTCCCTTGTCCTGGAAGCATGTAAGCAAGGTTCATTGGGGGAAGTATAATTAGAAACTTAGCTTTCAGGGGGAAGGAAAACTAAAGCAGTGAATCTGGAAGTTGTGCGTCAGGACGACGCACTATGTCTACCACAAACAGGCCTGCATCTCAAGGAAGGAGCCAAGAAAGTTCTTTTCTCAATCACATACAACGTTGACCCAACGTCGTTCTGGTCAGGGGTAATCCTACCGCTTACATGGAGATTACACTGTATCCACCCAGCCCTACCTCCAGCTCATTTCTGACAATGAATTTGAGTCTCTGGGCAAGTTTCTCAAACTCCTTGAGCCTTCCAGCTTTAAATCTGTGATCGTCCTGACCAACACTTCCCCATGCAGAAAGTGTTCAGTAATGTATTGCCATTTCAACCTCACTAAACATGCCACTTGGGGAAATTCTGCCCCCTTCACTCCCAGGCTGCCCCTGTCCAGTGATTTTGGGAACTCTCCAACACTTGCTTAAGCCAGTGGGAGGAGTGGAGACTGTTACCTTCTAAGGGCTTCCTTCAGTCTCCTGTCCATGGATCTCCTCATCAGCTCCTGGATCTCCGTCCCCATGTAGAAATATCCCCTAAATCTCCGCCACTGATGAACACTGCTGGGCAAAATCACACCACTGTGATGAAATGACAATATATTATCTAATCTCTCTAAAGGGCAGGGTGGCATAGTAGTCAGGATAATAAAAGATAAAATGCATATAGCACTTACTATGTGCCAAGCCACATGCTAAGCACTTCATAATTATTATTTCATTGGTTCCTCACAACAACTCTGCGAGATAGGTGCTGTTATTACCCCCATCTTACGGATGAGGAAAATGAGGACAACTGAAGTGAAGTGACTTGTCAAGGGTCACATAGCTACTAAGCGTCTGAAGCTGGATTTGAAATGAGGTCTTACTGACTCCAGGGCTGGCACTCAATCCACTAGCGGATAAAGAGTTGATCTGAAAGCCAGGAAGGCCTGGGTCCATGCCTTACCTCTGACACACACTGTGTGACCAAATCACTTAACCCCCAGACTGTAAGATGCAGAAGAGGTCCCAATCTTAATGATAATGGGAGTTTCCTCACCTGGAGATTCTCCCAGGGATGAGGAACCTGTGACCTTGAGGCCACCTGTGGCCCTCTAGGTCCTCAAGTGCAGCCCTTTGACTGAATCCAAACTTCACAGAACAAATCCCCTTAATAAAAGGACTTGTTCTGTGAAACTTAGACTCAATCAAAGAGCCACATTCAAGGACCTAGAAGGCCACAGGTTCCCTACCGCTATGGGCCTATACAAATGAACTCACAAATCCAGTCCCCATCCCTAGCCTATCTAGTTTCAACGGGGCCATCAATGCTCCATGGATATCATTTACACTGTCCTAACTGAATCTCTACCCCACTCCCTACAGTCTCTATTCCAAGCCTCTGTTCTCTCCTCAAGTCACGTTTACCACTCCCTTCTCCCCATCTCATCAGAAGACATCAACTCATATTTAACCAAAAAAACTAAAGCCGTCTGATGCGAGTTCCTTCTCTCAAATTAAACACCTAACCCCTATAGGCATCTTTACCCACTATCTTTTCAACCCCTCTGAACATGCCCTTACTCCCCTCCCAATCCATCTCCTCCAGGAGCTTGTCCCTGCTTCACCCTCTAATTTTCAGCCTCTCTTAACCTGATGGCTCTTTCCCTGTTGCCTATAACCATATTCAGATAACCCCCAATTTTAAGAAAAACCTTCACTTTGCCCTACCATCCCCTCAAGATACTTCTATCCATTTCCTCTTTCAGTCTCAGGCAAACTCCTAGAAAAAAGCTGTCTACATGAAATGTCCATATATTTTGACCCAGACACCTTACTGCTTGGCATATACCCCAAGGAGGCCAATAAAAAAAAAAAAAAAGAACCCACATGCATCAACATAGCAGTACTTTCTCTCCTGTCAAAGAATTGTAAACAAATTGTGCCCATAAATATCGTGGAATATTATTTTACCGTAAGAAACAATGGATGAGGAAATACAAGAAGCATTGGATGACTTCTTTGAACAGGTTCATAATGAAGTAAACAGAACCAAGAAAACAATATATGCAATGGTTATCACATTGAGGTAGCCGGGTGGTACAGTGGATTGAATGGTGGGCCTATCTGATTTCAAGTCTAGCCTCAGACACTGACTATAGATGTATGACTTTGGACAAATCACTTAACCTCTGTTTGCCTCAGTTTCCTCAACTTCAAAACGGGAATGGCTAACTTGCTAAACAGCTACTTCACAGGGCTGTCATGAGGATAAATGAGAGAATGTTTGTAAACTGCTTAGTGCAGCATGTGGCCCACGGTGGAGGCCATATAAATATTTAGATCCCTTATTCCCTATTCCTCCATTTACAATGAGGGAGGGAGACAATGAAATTGAATACTGCAGAATTCTACTGACCAAATTTTTCTCCAGAGGAAAAAAAAAACATCTCTTTTCTTTATTCGAGAAGTTGAGGGGAGGGGGTCTACGTGGGTGTCAAATGCTGTTGCAAGGAATGTTGGTTCTGCTGAGCTATTTGTCTTTTTAATTTCTTTTAAATCTTTGGGACAAAATAAGGCTCACTGGGTTAGGGAATGCAGAAGGATATATTTATAGACGAATGTGATACAAAAACCAAAGAAAAAAGCAGCAATTAAAAAAAGAAAAAGCTGTCTATCCTCATTGCCTCTATTTCCTCACTTCCCACTCAAACCACTGTGGACTGGCATACAACCCACACAGCCCAGCAAAGCTGCTCGCTCCATGGTTCCCAATGACTTCATAATGGCTGAATCCAATGGCCTTTTCCTAGGCCTTTTGCTTCTGGACAGTGTTTGACATTCTTCCCCTCGGGATCCTCTCCTCCCTGATTCTTCTTCTTAATATCATTCTCTTGGTGCTCTTCCTATTCTTCAGTATCCTTTGGAATATCACGACCTATGTGTGAGGCACTCTGGAGCCCTGTCCTGAGTCCTCTACTCTTATCTCTATATACACTTTCTCCTGGTGATCTCATCAGCTGCCATGGGTTCAAATAGCAATTCATGCAGATAAGTCTAAAATCTACACAGCCAGCTCTCACCTCTCTCCGGAATTCTAGCCTTCCATCCCCAATCCCTGCATAGCTATAATAATAATAATAATAATAATAATAATAATAATAATAATAATAATAATAATAATAATAACAATGACTAACATGTATATAGTGCTCACTATATGGTAGGTATTATACTAATTGTAATTATAATTACTATCTCATTTGTTTCTTACAACCCCCTGGAAGGTAGACGCTATTTAAACCGAGGAAAACAGATGTTAGGTGACTTGCCCAAGGTCACATAGCTAGTGAATGTCTGAGGCCAGATATGAACTCAGATCTTACTGACTCCAGACCCAGTACTCTATCCATTGTAACACCTAGCGGTCCCTACATGTGTGTATACACCTATATGTGTGCCTGCTGACTTTCCCAATAGAATGTAGGGTCCTTGAGGACAGGAACTGTTCAGCTTTTGTCCTCTCCTGAATGTATCACTACCTACTTGAGGTATTTACTAATCCTCCAGTGCCTAGCACCAGGTACATGTAGGTGTTTGTTGATTCATTGAATGCTAATTAGTTGATATCTAGACCTGGATGTCTCATAGCCTAAAATCTTACAGGTCCAAAAGAGACCTCCAAATCTTTTACTAAAACCCATCACTCTTCCCAATTGCCGTATTTCTTCTGAAGGTATCACCATCCTTCTAGTCAACCAGATTAACAACCTCCAAGTCATGTTCAATGAAATGTCTGTCTGGCCCTTAGGTTTCCATAGATGTTGTCTTTTCAAGAGTTGGGGTCCTGTCTTTCATATATGACAAATTGTTTCCCACTTTCATTACCAGATAACAACTCTCATATGTGTCATTTTATCAGAGCAGCTAAATTGAATGATTTTATCCCCAAACCCTGTCCTGCTCCAACTCAGTTCCCAGGATTGTGGATGACATAGTGAGCATCCTTAAGGTATCCATTAGCCTACCTCCTGACATCCCTAAGCCTTCTTAATTCCTATCCTCAATGTAATTCCTCTCTGTCTATAATTGTGTGAATAGGCCATTTTATGCATTGACACTTTGGGATGGAAAGACTGAGTGAAGCCTCCAGCTATAGCTGTTCACAATAAACTTTGAACATTCTGCCTGCTAATCAAAATGTGAACTTTTCTTTTGGTATGAGAGTTAAATCCCAGAATAGCCTGAAATTAAGTGGACTGCTGCTACCAACCCCAGATGTCTCCCGTTGATACATCACGCTATGTCTTAGTTACCTTTCATCCACACACTTAGGACTCAGAAGGGATTCCCTGCTACCTGGCAGAATCCTGAGCTTTCTACAAGGCTCAGTTCAGTGACCACCTCCTACATGGGGCCTTTACTGAGCCTCCCTTTATTAGCGCTCTCTGCCTCTTTATATTGCTTTAGAAAGACATAACCTAACATAAAAAGAGGACTACTTCGGAGGCCCTGAGACCTGGGCAGAAGCACAGCCTCTTACATATACTAGCGCTATGACTCTGGGCAAGTAACTGAAACTCCAGTAACTTGCTAAGATAGTAACATGGATTAGCTGCCAATGTGCATGGATAGAAAGATCAAGTCAAAATGTTGGGGTTGTTGTAAAGAAGATTACTGGTTAGCTGTGATTTGGCCTAGATGGTCTTTAGCATCTCTCCCATCTCTATCATTCCCTGTTCTAAGACCACCCCAGCTCTGACGTTGTCTATTCTAAGACCCCTCCTAGTTTTGGACATTCTAAGTTTTAAGGCCCTTCCTAGCTCTGATTTTCTGCTATAAAGCTTTTCCCAGCTCTGACATTTTATGTTCTAAGGCCCCTCCCAGTTCTGTCATTCCCTGTTCTAAGACCCATCCCAGCTCTGACATACTATGTCATAAAGCCTTTCCCAGCTCTGATATTCCCTGCTCGATGGCCCCTCCCAGCTCTGACACTCTCAAATTTAAGGAAAGTTTGTTGGATTGAATTGAATCCAAGCAAATTGACCATATTTTGTGAGTCATAAAGTCTTCCAGAAATATCACCCATCTGAGAATTAGAAGACATGAATTCTTTCACTCATTTCGGCAAATCACTTCCTCTCCCAGAGACTCATTTTCTTCCTCTGTTATAGGATAAGACTGGACAACAGGATTGCTAGTTCGCCTACTAGCTGTACCATCCAATCATTCTGTCCCATTCAGTGGTGATATGACTAGCCAACAGGGATATGTCACGATCCTCTAGATGTTTTCTCCAGATTCCAGTTAATATCTGTAAGTCCTTTGTAAACCTTAATGCACTATATGAATGCTAGCTATTGTTACTGTAAATTAAATTTTTGTCGTTGTTCAGTCATTTTCAGTTATGTTGTATTCTTCATGACTCCATTTAGGGTTTTCTTGGCAAAGATACTAGAGTAGTTTGCCATTTCCTTTTCCAGCCCATTTTACATATGAGAAAACTGAGGCAAACAGGATTAAGTAGCTTGCCCCAGGTCACACAGGTGGTAAGTGTCTAAGGCCAGATTTGAACTGAGGAAGATGAGTCACTCTACCCACTGGTGCCACCTAGTTGCCCTGTAAATGAAATATAACATTAATTTATTAAGCACCTACACTGTCCCAGGCACTATGCTGGGGCTGAGAGTACAGATAATGCCAAAATAGCCTCTGTCCTCCAGGCACTTCTGTTCTACTGGATGGATAAAATGTATGCACAAAAACATAGATCTAAGGTAATTTAGGGAGAGAAAGATCACTAGCAATTTGGCAGGAAGTCCAGTGGCAAGAGCATTGAGAAAAGGCCACTGTGAGATTTCCCAATTGGGATATTGTTACTAACCTGGAGACAGCCATTCCCTGTTGAGTGATGTGGGTCCGAAGCCAGAGTCCACAAGAAGTAGGGAGGACATGTAGACAAGGGCTATACAGGAAGCCTTCTAGGAGTCTGGCTCTGGATGGGAAGAGAGATAGAAGAGGATGCACTGAGGAGATGGGAACACCAAGTGATGATCCAGAGATCTGGCCACAGCTGTAGACATCAGGGAAAGAACCAGTGTACAAGGAGACACTGAGCATGAGAGAAGGGAGGGAGAATGACTGAGGGGGCCTGTTCCCAGGGAGATGGGAGGAAGTGGGATCCAGGACAAATATAGAAGAAATGATTTTCACAACCCTCATAGATGATTCCTCTCTTTCGCAGAGAAAGAAGAGAATGGTGTGAATCAGGAGAGAAGGCAGGATTCATGGTTCAGTCTCTATCATCTCAGAAATGGAAGTTAGGTCCTTCTGTGACAGGGAGTTAATTGGGGGAAATTGTGCAGGGAGCCATTCTAAGGCCCCTTCCCCCTCCCCAGCTCTGACATTCCCTGTTCTATGGTCCCTCCCATCATGACATTCTCTAATTTAAGGCCCCTCCCAACTCTGACATGATGGTTCTAAAGCTCTTTCTAGATCTGCACGTTCTATTTTCCATGTTCTACATCCCCTTCCTGCTCTGACCTTCTATGTTCTAAAGCTCTAGAATTCTAGGAAACCGTGTTTTCCTAAATGTGCATTAAGCTGATAGTAACTGCTTCTCATCTGGCCTTAGTGGTTTTGCTCTCGTGTGGTTTTTAAGCAGGGAGGGAGAAGCAGTGTCCAAGATCTATGAGATTTAGGGTGAGCAGGGGGGAAAGTGGATAGTACATTTGGGAACTGAGCTTCCTGGGAGCAAACAGCTACGAAGAGTAGAAGAGTGTAGGCAGCAGAAAGGACACAGAGCTGAACCCCAGAAGCCTTGGGTTTTAGTAGCCTGGGGGAATCCATTCACGTCCAGGCCAGTTTCCACTTCAGTAAAATGAAGGGTACAATACCAGCATTGGCTGCATCCCAAAGGCATCACGAGGGTCATTCTCTCTTCAGAGAGTGAACTTGAAAACCAGAACATCCAGGGGAACAGCTGGGGAGAACCAGGGCCTTTTTTGGTGGGGTGGGGAGATAAGAAATGAATGGGGACCAAAGCCTACAGCTCTCTATAGGACAGCATTAGTCTCTGTTTCACTCTCCCTCTTCCTTGCTCTTTCCACTTCCCTCCCCATTGCTCTCTCTTCTCTCCCTCCCCTCCCTCCTCTACCTCTATCTTTCTCTGCCTCTCCTCTCTCTCCTTCCTCATCCTCTCTCCCTCCTCCTCTCTTCTCTTTATTCTTTTTAGATGTCTCCTTTGGCCCCTCATCACCTCCTTTCTCCTCTCTTTTTCTCACTCTGTATCTCTGTCTGTCTCTGAGAAAGTCTGTGACACTCCATCTCTGTCTCTCTGTATATTTGTCTCTATCTCTCTTTCCTCTTTTTATTCCTCTTTCTTCTCCTCCTCCTCCTCCCCAAACAGTAACCCTCTGTATGTCTCTTTATTTCTCTCTCCCCTGCATCCTCCTCTCCTTTATCTCTCTTCCTCTCTCCTCATGTCTCTCTGTCTCTGTCTTTTCTGTGTCTCTGACTCTCTCTGACTCTCTGTCCATTTGCGTGTGTGTGTGTCTCTCTTTGTCTCCCTGTCTCTCTGTGTGTATGCATCTGTCTCTGCCCCTCTGTCTGTCTGTCTATCTGTGTGTGTCTGTCTGTCTCTCTCCCAACCCCCATGTGTGTCTCTGTCTCTCCATTCTCTATCTCTATATCTCTCTGTTTCTGTGTCCCTCTCTCTATCTCTCCATCTCTCTCTGACTCTCTGTTTCCGTGTCTCTCTGACTTTGGCTGTGACTCAGTCTCTGTCTCTCTCTGTATTTGACTCTTGTCTCACTCTGGTTCTGGCTCTGACTCAGTCTCTCCCTCTGTCTCTCTGTCTGTCTCTGTGTCTCTTCTCTCTGTCTCTGTCTCTTTCTCTCCTCCCTCTATCTCCTTCTCTCTCCTCTCTTCTCTCTTCTTTATCCCACCAGCTGTTTTCACCAGGATGTCTTCTGCAGTTTGGGTGTGTGCCTGAGAATTGGTTTGAGCCATGGAGCCAACTAATGCCCCAAAGTTCTGAACAAGTCACTGCTTCAGACACCTTCCTGCCTCCTCCTCAGGGCAGCCCCCAGCAGGTGATTCTAGCCTCTGGCTGTTGAATCTTGAGGGGAGATGACAAGACCCCCTCTAGTCCAAGACAGACCCCACCCTTCTTTTGCTACTGCCGCAGCCAAGCCTTGACTTTAATTCTTTAACAGGAACTAGGACCAGGAAATTGCTTTCAGGCATCGCTCTCAAAACTGAAGGGATTGGGGAGACCCCACACCCTTCAGGGTCCCCAAATATGCAGGTTCTATGAGGTCATTCCCAACTAAAGCATGTCAATGTGGAGACAAAGTCAGAGTTAGGAAAGTGATACAATGGCTCCTCAGCTAGGGCTAAGGTACCTAGGCCTGGATGCCTGGGTTCTGTCTGAGCCCTGATCTGAATCCCTAGAGAAAATGGGGAAGGGTCTGCATTTGGGGAGGGGGCCTCACTTTTCTAGAATAATTGAAACATGACTAGAAGAACCCAGTTTCCTCCCTCTGCAGAGTTCTTCTGAGGTTGGAGCAGGAAAATAAGGGTAGATCTTTGGAGATCTCAGAGTCCCAAGGCCAGAAGAAAGCTGGCAGGTGCTCTGCAGTGTATGAGGGCTCAGGGGAGGGAGGAGGAGACCAGAGAAGGGCTGTTAAGATGCTGTCCAGGCTTCAAAAGCTTCTCCCTGGTTATTGTCCAGGGGTGACCCCACCCTAGCAACTGCAGCAGAAGATGGCTCCCCCCTCCCTCATACTGCAGCCCCAGAGCCCATCTGCTGCTCTTTTGTGGGAGCTGGGGGGAGTTAGGGGGGTGCTGGATGGTAAGTCCTTTGTTCTTTATCCTGCTGATTCTTCAGCTGCAGGACACAGCAGACCTCACCAGGATGCCATCTGGGAATCCTGAACGGGACACTGGGAAGGCCAGTCTACACTGGCCCTGGCCTCCTCCACTTTGCTGCAGCCCAAATCCCTTGGGGCAGGGTGTGTGTCATAGAGAGTGGACAATGGCTAGGAGGGGAGGTATCTCTAAGCCCCCATCCCACCCCTGCTGAGGATGGAAGCTTTCTGCAGGGCTCTGTGTGATTCCTTGGACCTGGGGGAAGGGAGAAGTGCTCAGTTCCTCCCATCCCTCTGGGTTGAAGATGAAGATAGGGATACAGGGATAGGGATGGGCAATATGAGGGGGATAAAAATAAGGATGAGGTTCAGGTTGGGGATGGAGATAGGGATAACCTGAGGATGGGGAGGATAGGGGTGGGATCCCGGTTAGGCATGGAAATGAAAGTGAATATAAGGAAGGGTAGGGAATGGGGATGGGTTTCAGGTGTGAATAGAAATGGGGAGGGGAAGAGGAAGGGGAGGAAAATGAGGAAGGAGAAGGGGAGAGGAATGGTGCTGAAGTTCAGGATGGAGATGAAGATGAAGACAGGGAGGAAATGGGGAAGGGGAGGGAGAGGAGAATGAAGATGGGGGAGGGGAACAGGAATGAGAATGGGGTTGGGGTTGGGGATGGAGATGATGATAGGGAAGGGAGGGGTGATGACTTGTGGGTCGGCGATGGGGAAAAGGAGGAGGATGGGGAAGGAGACAATGATGGGGAATGAAAGGGGGATGGGAATGGGGGTGGAGTTAGATTTGGGAATGGGAGGAAGATGAGGAAGGGGAGAGGGTCGGGATCAGGGAATGTGATGGGGATAGGGTTAGGGACAGGATTAGGGTTGGGGAGGAGGATAGGGATGGAGATGGAATAGGGCTGGCTCCAGAGATACGGGTGGGGTTGAGGTTCGGATAGGGGTTGAGGAGCGGATTGGGATGGGAATAGGGGTAGCTTATGGGAGTGGAGATGGGGTTGGGGTTGGTGCTTGAGGAATAGGACCGTGAAGAGAAGGCAGGAAAGGGAAAGTCTCAGCCTTACCTGGTTCCCTACAGGCGGGCCAGGCAGAGACGTTTCTGAGGTGCAGTGGTCTGGGTGATCAAGGCGCAGGCAGCGCACAAGGCACGCAGGCAGCAGCTCAAAGGGGCGAGCATCCACCCTGCTTTGTGCGAGGCTCCAGGTGGCGGCTGCTGCGGTGAGGAGGGAGGGCCGGACTGGGGAGGGAGAAGAGGAGACTGCAAGTCCGGGAAAGCGAAGGCCCAGCACACTCTCCGCCCAGCCGTAGCCGCAGTCCCCAACCTCCCCAGCCGCGCCTAACTGCCCTCTGGTCCCAGCAGCTAAGCTGGCTCTGGCTCTCTGTGGGCTGGCGCAAAGTGGGGAGGTTCCGAGCAGCGCCAATCAAACAGGGGCGTAGGAGAGACCGCTCTCTGAAGAGGACACCGCCCAGCCCCGCCCCTCCCCCCTCCCGGGCCTCTGCAGGGACCCTGGAACAAGTTGCCCCCAGCCGGTTCCTCTCTGCCCTCCGGCGCCCCAGAGCCCCTCGTCTTTCCTAAGCCCCCCCTCCCCGCCTCTTTCGTCCCAGCTGATCAAATTCTTCCCCCTTGGCTGCAAACCCCCTACCAGCCTCCTTGCCCTCGGGCCTCCCTCCACCCCATCTTTCCCTTCCCAGTGCCCCATTACCCCATCCCTTACACCTGCTACCCCCTTCCCTCCTCCCCACCCCGAGGATCTCAGCAGGCGGCGGGGGTAGAGGATGAGAGGGAGGAAAGGAGAAAAGATTCGTTTAAGTGCGTGCCTCAGATCAGGGGCCCCAGACCTGCAGAGCTTGTCCATCTGGACCAGGCTGAACAGACCCCTCGAGCACCAGCTGCTGCCTGTCCCACACCACCCCCTTCCATCCCCCAGGGCAGCTTGCAGCCTATTCTTTCCGTGTCTGCCCAGACCAGCTGGGCTGCCATGGCAACAAGAGCAGCGCTGGGCCCAGGAAAACAGGCCGGAGAGGGATGGAGGGGATAAGGAGAGTCACCAAAGACCCCCCTTTCTCCAGCCTTCATTCCCCACCCCCCATCTCCTATTCTTCTGGACCGGCCAGCTGCGCTGATGTACCCCTGTGCTGAACACTGCGCTGCTCTAGAATGAGACGCTGCCCCAACAAGACTGAGGCATTGGGGACCCCTTCCTCCCATCCTCCCCTGTCCTCGCAGTCTAGTTCTGAGGGCAATACAATACAACATGATACAATCCGTAGAGTCATAGGAGGTCCCAGGACAGCCCTTCGCCATCTTGGTCTCCCTCCTCTCTATACTTTCAATGGCCCCTCCTAAACGGTAGGGCTCAGAACGAACCACTATACTGCAGCTATCTTCTGACCGGGGCAGGTGACCGTGGAATTATCTCCAACCTTGACCTAGCAGCTAGACCATCCTTAACCTAGCCTGAGGCCCCATTCAGTGTTTTGGTTTCCTCCTACTATGTTGTTTAAGGTCACACTGCCCTTACATGTCAGAGAGAGGACTTGAACCCCGGTCTTCCTGGCTTCCAAGCTAGCCACAGTGCTTCTCTACAAGCTGCCTTTGGGAAAGAAGTTCCTGCCGCACCAATAAAATCATAGGTCTAGTCTGTATCCCTAACTACTCCTCCTATAGCTGATTTGTACTGACTTCCTGGTGCATTCAGGCTCCCAGGTATTTTTCTCATAAACAGCCCACCCACACACACACACACACACACACACACACACACATACACACCTTTGTTTACACTTCTCTAGTATACTCATCATGTAATTGTGTTACTAGAGTTGAAATGCAAGCTCATTGAGAGAAAGGACTACTTGGCTCATGTCTTTTTGCCCCAGTGCCTAGCACAGTGCCTGGTACACAACAGTTGCTTAATAAAAGCTTATTTACTGGTGGATTCATTGGTAGGGTTGTTCTTGTTACTTGTGTCCAACTCTCTGGGACCCATTTGGGGTTTTCTTGGCAAAGGCACTCGAGTGGTTTTCCATGTCATTCTCCAGCTCATTTGACAGATGAGGAAACTGAGGCAAACAGGGTGAAGTAACTTGCCCAAGATCACATAGCTAGGAAGTTTATGAGATTGGATTTGAATTCAAGTCTTCCTGACTCCAAGTCCAGCGCTTTACCCATTGTGCCACCTAGCTGCCCTAGTAGGGCTGTTTTTATATCTTATACCTTGCTGAGATTATGAGCTCCATTAGGATGGGGTCATCACATCCTATCTAAACTCTGAGTCTTATGAGTCTCGTCTAGGACCTGGCATTTGCAGGTACCAGGTACATCATAAATCTTTGCTACAAAAAAAAAAATCTTTGATTAATAAATTATTCAATCCTATACTCATTTGCAGCCTAAGCTTAAGACTTCACAGCCATCTCGAATAAATTTCAACTTTGTGATCTGGTCTTAGAGTTCTAGCCTATAATGATCTTTCTGTATCTACAGCCTGTCATTTAATGGCTATCCCTCCTGCCTGAGAAAGAAAGAAAGAAAGAAAGAAAGAAAGAAAGAAAGAAAGAAAGAAAGAAAGAAAGAAAGAAAGAAAGAAAGAAAGAAAGGAAGGAAGGAAGGAAGGAAGGAAGGAAGGAAGGAAGGAAGGAAGGAAGGAAGGAAGGAAGGAAGGAAGGAAGGAAGGAAGGAAGGAAAAAAGAGAAGGGGGAAGGAGAGAGGAACAAATAAAGAGAAAGAAAGAAATTAAAGAGCCTTCCATCCAGGACTTCATTCAAGTCAGGGATAAAAAATGTTGAACAGAGCCAAGAGCAGATGCCTGGAGCACCTGACTTGAGACCACCCCATATGCAAATTGGCATTAATCCATTAATCAGTACTCTTTGAGTAGAGTTGTTCAACCATTTATGAATCCACCAAACAAGACAATAATCCACTTCCCACCTCTCCACCTGATCTGTAAGGGTATAATGGGAGAATGGCAAAGAGCAAATCAATATGTACCATGTAATGATATCTATATATAATCATAGAATTTACAGCTGAAGGGAGCATGGAGGTCACCTACGCTAACCTCCTCATCTTACAGAGGAGCTACAGCATTTCTCCAGGGAAATTTGCTAGCAACAAAAATGGAGGACTAGGGATCTCTCTTCAAGCAAGTATGGAGAACAGGGCAAATTCTACGGTGACCTGCACAGAGTATGAGGATTGTGTTTCTGCTAGAGCCAAGTGAGTGCTATCTGTGCTTAAAGTGTAAGAAGGTGGGACTCCAATAAAAGAAAAGATGACTCCAACTCTCCATAATAAGAAATAAGAATTAAGAGAAAAATAAGATTATTTAAAGAGGGAAGAGGAAGAGGTATCAATGTGAACATGGAGAAAAAAGATCTGAAGAGGAAGGGGGGATCCTGACCTGTTTCTGGAGTGTACCCATTAAAGAGAAAGGGAAGAAGGACTAATAAACACCTAGACCTAAGAAATAAATATAAGGCTCCTCTTGAAAAGGAGGGAGCTGTATGCACTGAAGAGAAAGCACGTGTTTGTTGTCCAAGGGAATTGTGACATATATTCACAGGTGCTGTCACATAAGTGGTCATCCACTATGTATCAGAGAAAGATGAAATGAGTAGAAATGTTTTTAGCTTCCTTCCTGAGGGATACTAAGGCAGCTGTGTGTTGTTGTGATAACAACAGTAGTAGAGAGGTCTGCTATCTCCGTGGGGCATATATTCAAGAAGTGACAGAGAAATTCTTGAGATTTGCCAAGCCAGATGGCTACCGGCCAATTCTGGTGATTCATGTAGGCACAAATGACACATATATAAATGAAGGAACCTAGTACATATTGCTAAAGATGAAAAAGTATTAAGCAACAAATTCTAGGGCATCACCTGAAGACCTTAGGAGCTTATACGGTGTGGTGAGGGCATCAGAAAAGAAAGGCATATTTGAGAAGTGAGCATGTGGTTAAGAAAATTGCATCTGAAGTTTGGATTTTAATTTCTGGACCACAGCTTGGAACATAAGTGTGACAGCTTCCTGGCCAGGGATGGAGGGCACCTAACAAGGAATGGTAAATATTGACATGGAATCCTAGAAATCTAATCAAAAAGGCTTTACACTGAAAAGGAAGAGGATAAAACTGCATAAGTGTATTTACCAAGCCAAAGACCCTCAGAGAGCAGCTACGATGTAAAAAGAAGACTGGCAATGGATTTTAATAAAGCAATGGCCAAAGGATATGAATAATTTTCAAAAGAACTGTGAACTAGAAGTAACCACATGAAAATATGCTCACTAAAGAGAAATGCAAAATAAAACAACTCTGAAATTTCTTCTTTTCTGTGAAAATTGGCAAAGATGACAAAAGATTGAAAGGGTCATTGGCTTTGGAAAGACAGGCACACCAATGCACTATCAATGGAGTTCCAAAGTGGTCCAGTTTCTATATATTAATTAATAATTATGAAAGAAAAATTACTAAGCTGCCCAAGACTTTAAACCACCAAAATCACTCCTAAGCATTTACCCCAAGCAAGTTAAAGACAGAAACAAAAGTCCAACATATAACAAAGCATTCACAGCTGAGAGAATAACATATATAATGACTAGAGAATGATCGTTAAAATGAAGTAAAATTTTTGAGTAGCCAAAAACCCACGAGGGATCCAAAGAACAGATAAAGAAACGTATCTCCCTCATTCATGGCACAAAAGTGGGGAAGTACTAGGGCATAATATGACATACACTATAATACACTTTCACTGTATTATATGTTCTGCTGAATTTGTTAAAAGAGTGGGTTCAATCTGGAGAGGTCAAAATGACTGTTAGATGAAGGCAAGAGTCATCAGGAAAACACTTTTTTAAAACAAGAATAACAGTAGAGAAGTCCAGAAAGTCATAGGAAACAAAATTCAAGAAAGGGACCAGCGATAATACCCAATATGTCAGAAATCAACCCACAAGTGAATAAAATGTGGGTGACAATCAAAGTTCATGAGAGTTCTAATGCAAGGAGGCAAATACATACTCATGGAGACTTCGTGAAAGAAGGGCCATGATTGAAATGTGGCTTTGGTGAAAACATACTTATTTTTAAAAAAAGAGCTAAAAGGGGGAGGGGAAATAGCGTGTTATACCCTATTATAGGAATACAAATATGTATCATTATATTTTTCATATATATTATATATCTCCATATATCTGTTGGAATATATTATATTACTCGTGTGAGATAAGCCAAGAACTGGGAGGGGGAAACTTGGTAAAGCATGTTTAGATAAAGATTGGGGGAGGGGGACAGAAAACAGCAGATGTTGTCTCCAGACTATACTACAAGCCATCTGAACAGCAAAAGTAAACAGAGGAAGATCT